AGTGACTGTTTCCCCAGGAGCTGATTCAATACTGTGTTTTGGGGCTTGACTCCATTTCTTGGAAATGCAAACTCAGTTAAAGGAAAGATGATGCACAGTGGAGCTCCTTGTCTATCTGGGAAAATGAATTAACTTCTGGCTAAGATAACTCTTCTCTTTCCTGCTTTTCATACCTATCCTATGCCCATGAGTCTTAGAATATAGAGTAGCATGTTTGTGTGACATCAGAACACAACAAGCTCTTGGAAATTGGAGTCTTTTAGAGAAACACCTGGGAACAATATGTTTAATACAGTCTTGTGAAGTAAGACTGTTCTGCTAACTAAAAATACGACAGCAGTAGACGGATGCAGTATAATATGATAAGCATAGATATCTCCCCTTATATAATGAGTTGTTTCTAATGATTTATGTTTGTACTTTGCTTTATTTTAGCTGTAAGAATATTGAGTGCTGAAGATTTGGGTAAAATATATGATGAAAAAATGATAAATTAGGGAATGAATGTAACTCTATTTTCTTAGGAGGATACAAGCATTCTGGAGACCAGCTGAGTCTGCAGAATAGAGGAGAAAGTCACTTATTATTCTCAATTCTATGGGAAAGACAGGGTACCTCCACAGCACACACACCATTTATCAAAGCATAGTCCATGACACATTGATCAACTGGGGTCTTTCAGTAAAATGTGTTACAGACATCAGAGAGGTGTCCAGTTAGGTTGATAGTGTGGATTTCCTTTTACAAAGCAATGTCTAAAATAACTTCTATTATGGGATTGGAAATTGAACCCAACTTCCTAACACCCACCTCTCCTGCCTGTAGTGATCATTGACCTTCCAAGTAATGATTCTGAAGCCCTGCAATTCTCACATCATCACCTGAATATTGTGTCACATTCATCAGACTGTATTTACTAATGTACAGTATGGCTTAATATAATGCTTCACTTTTGGATATGCCTGGAGTTTCAACCACTCATAAATATAGTATGCAACCCAGAGGTAATTGAAAAGCTCCTGAGTAGAGAAAATATAAATACCACAAGGAGAGAGGGATTAGAAACTAGAAAGGGCATGCAGAGACTTTCTAGGGTCTGAGCAGGAGCTTTGAGGAAGGCTTTGGGATTCTGGCCATGTTTTGTTCCTGTAAAGGTAGGAGGGCAAAGTGGGCATGTTCCACTTGTGAAAATTTAACAAGATATATAATTATGATATATGTAATTTTCTTTACCTATGTTATACTTCAATAAAAAGTTAACTATAGGCACAATTGTGGTGACACATGCTGACCCCGTTCCACTCACTGGAACCATTGAGGAGGCCTGGGTTCAGTTCCCAGTACAGTCTAAAGGCTGGAGGTGTGATGTGCACCTGTGATCCCAGTGATTTTGGAGGCTGAGGCAGGATTGCAATGTAGTGATACTTTGTCTTCTAAAAACAAAAAGTTAAACATGGATAGATACAGTTAGTTGTTAGATGAAGTGTGTGTGCACACATGCATGCTAATCTCTATTCCTGCTACATCTTTTAGAATGAGACATGTCTGCCCTCTTGTCTAGATGCTTTTTTTGGTCATAAGTGATATCAGGGTGAGCAGCTGGGAAATAAACACAAGGGGTCAGCAAATGGCATGGTGGTTAAGGCAACTAGATCACACATGGCCAACTGTGCACTTCGAGTCCTGAACCCAGCGACTTGAAAAACACACCAGTTCTGCATGTGAGTGGCCAAAATCCAGAAAAAAAAGGGAGAAATGGAGGAGAAGGGATTGCGGCATGATCATCATCCATGGGGGGTGCTCTCTAACTTTCTCTCCCTCTCTCTTTCCATCTCTCTC